CGGACCATTTGCGTCGGACTCACCCGGTCTTGTCGAGCAGGGAGGCTCCCCTAACCTCACCACGTCTGCTGCATTGGACTGTGGGGGGTGCGCCAGAAAATCTGCCTGTTTAATGAGCTCACCGGCGATCCATCTTCCAAGCGAAGTTGGGGACCCACTGTTACTGGGGGGGGTGGGGCACGGCGTTGGACTCAGAATAACTCTGCCTGCACTCTTGCTTTGCTCTTTACTAGTAGCAGCTTCATTGAGATACAAGTATATACCACGCAACTTGCCCACATACTTTGTACACACAGTTCAATGGTTTCCAGTAAAGTCACAGACTTGTGCAATCTTTACTCCAATCAACTGCAGAATAGTTTCGTCGCCCCAAAAGAGAAACCCTGTATCAATCAGCAGTCACTCCCACTTACCCCTCAGCCCTCAGCCCTAAGCAACCCCTCATCTGCTTTCCGTCTCTGGACGTGCCCTTTCTGGATGTTCCATATCAGTGCCGACATACAACGGGTAGCCGTTAAAACTACTAAACTCTTAGAACATACAATATGACCTTGGATTTATTAAATAATTCTTAGATGTGACCCAACATAGCACAGTCAACAGAACAATAGGTAAATTGAATTTCATCAAAAGTACAAACTTTTGTCTATCAAAGAACACATGTGAGAAAGCAAAAGACAACCAACAGAGTGGGAGAAAATGTTTGCAAATTGTATTCCTGATAAGAGTCTAATATCCAGAATACATACAAACCACCTACCAGCCACGTGCAGTTCAATAATAAAGAGACAAACAACCGATCAATAAACAGGCAAAGGACTCAACTGGGCATTTGTCCAAAGAAGACATACAAATGGCCAACAGGCACACCCAGACTCATTAGGGAAAAGCAAACCAAAACACAGGGAGACGCCACTTCACACCCACTAGGATGGTGAGAGTCAAAACCGGAGGAAAATAACAAGTATCGGTGCAGACGTACAGACAGCGGAACCTCCATACATCACTGACGTGAATATAAAATGGTGTAGCCATTCCATTACACAAAACACTTGGGCAATTCCTCGGTAAGTTAAACAAAGAATTACCATATGCCACAGCAATTATACTCCTAGGTATAGAACGAAAAGAATTGAATGCAGGTGTTCAGATACAAACTTGTACATGAATGCTCATAAGTAGCATAACTGACAATAGCCAAAAGGTGGAAACAACTCAAATGTACATCAACAGGTAAATGGATACGCCAAAGGCAGTATCTCCATACGGCGGAATATTACTTGGTGACAAAAAGGAATGAAGTTCTGACACATGCTACAACATGGATGAACCTTGAAAAATTACCTTAAGTGAGAAAACTCAGACAGAAATGGCCATCTATCGTATGATCCCATCTATATGAAATGTCCAGAGAGCAGAAGCTGGGGGGGGGGGATGAGAATGGGGTGTGACTGCTTAATGGGGACAGGGTGTCCTTTTGGGGTGATGAAAACATCCTGGAACTAGGTAGTGGCGACAGCTGCACAGTCCTGAAGGCCAATGTACAGAAGGTCAATGAATGGCACAGTTTAAAATGGTTTACATGGTAAGTGTACAAAAATTCCTTTTACAATTCCTTGAAGGGTAATTTCAAGGCTGCCAGGACAGACCCCAGACTCCGCCGTCCTCCAGGGAGCCGCCACCCCTGCAGCTGGCCGGCCCGTGAACCTCGGCCGCCCCCACCCGTGGTCGGGGCGCCTGCTGTCCACCTCTGGGGGGCTCCTTCCTGCAGGAGCACTTCTTCCGCCAATGCCAATGCACACTCTGCAGAGGGAGGTCAGCGCATCCCAGCGGCCTCTGCGGACAGCAGCATGGCATGGAGACCAGAGCAGGTGGTTTGAGGCGGAGTTACCCGAAGTTTCTTGAGCAACATCGGGGAGAGACCTGAGGCCACACCAGGGAATTTCTGACACCGCCACTGGGAAGCTGAGGGCAGGCTGTTTTGTATTCTCCTTCGGGGTTGGGGCAGGTAAGCTGGTGACCTCACGTTCTCCTACACAACCTGCCCAGGGGAAGGACTATGGGGCCAGAGATGTGGCCTGGACCGAAGGGGAGAGGCAGCCCCTGGCCCAAGGTCCAGCTTAACGGAAACCTCTGTCTTGTCTTCTACATTATGCTAGTGTATCCCCGGGCAGGCAGGCTCCCTGGACTCTCTCTCCACCACTCAAGCACGTCAGGCCCTTTCTGGCTGGTGGTCCAGGTGGAGGTTCTGGCTGCAGCCTGACACAGCTCCGCAGGTGACACCTTCTCAGTCGCTCTGCCTTCTTGATTCGCACACTCAGAATGTCCAGAAATTCTCTGTCCTCCCAGGCTCCAGTTCGGGCCAGTCTCCCTCAGTTTATAACCTCCTGCCCTTCACTCTGTCCTGGCCACCGCTGTTCTTATCACTGTCATTTCTGGCCTGAGTCAGTTGCGTTTCTATTTCTTTGCTCCTGGGCTCTGAGGACCAGCCCTCTGTTCATCACGCACGATCCTCCCAACCAGCTCCCGGATGTGAGCAGCGAGCACCTGCTGTTAGATGTTCTCACAGCAGATAATTTGTGTCTCCTGCAAAAGAGCCAATGAGAGGAGGCTACGGAGGGATTGGTTGGTTGTCGTCCAAGACCGTTTATCACAATGGGCCACGAGGTTCAAGGTTCCCGCCAGCAGGGCTATTTCCCAATGTGCCGGAGGGGGCTACATTTCACATGCCCAGGGAGGCCTCCAATTTATGGAGCTTTAAGATGAACACAAGGTCAAGAGGAAAATGGGCTGACCCACTGTGAGTACAAAGTGGTTTCAGCTAAAATAGGCAGAGATCATGGAGATCAGAGAGAACGGAACTTCAGACTTAGTGTCTGGTGTTTCAGCTCCTAAAAATGGGCGCCCTCCCAGGTTCTGATCTTGGCTTTCTCCCTGTGTTGTCTCTTTTGGAACTCGCTGTGCAGACGGTTCTGGGCTAAATTTTTACCCGACTGCTGCACATACTGTACGTGGAGCCATGAGCACACTTCAGAGGCAATGCATGTCTAATTCCATCCATTCGTCCATTCACTCACTCATTCATTCACCGTGCTTCTCCCATCACCAGCGTCTCCTAACTCCTCGGCATCCTGACTTCCCCAGCCCTTCCGAGGCCCACTCCCAGGGGACCACAACCTCCCAGCTGCCTGCCAGCCCCAAGAGATCTCTGCTTCTTGGTTCTCCCTGCTCCGGCCTACCCTAGACCCAGATCTGGTCTGACCTCTCTGAAGCCCAGCTCCAAGTGGTCAGCCCCTGCTACAAGCCTTCAATTCACCATCAGGAAAATTCCATGTCATTCATTCTACACCTGCTATTTCCTGACCATCTGTTATGTGCCGGGCATTGTGTTGGGGACCGGGATTATGACGGCAACCGAGACTCCTGGGCTCCGAATCTAACAGGGGAGACACCGTGACATTGTGTTACAGGGTGGAAAGTGCTATAATAGGGAGGGAGGAAGAGGGTGCTCTGGGGCCACAAACAAGGACACGGGCCCCAGCCTCGGTGGGCCAGGGGAGCCCCCCGACACTCACAGAGCCATACCTAGATTCCCCAGCAAGGGCAAGCGGCTGTCCTAACCGGGCTCGGGTTCCCTTTCTGGGGCTCTGGAGCACCACCCCTCCATGTCCCATGACGTACCCACAAAGGGCTCCCGAGTCTTCCAAACAGGCCAGCACCCTTCTGCTTCTGTACTTTTCTTGTTCATTCTCCTTTCTCCCTGGACTATCCTTGCTGCTCGCCTTTACGTGTCAAATGAACACTGACTCTTCAAGAGCCATAGAAACACCACCTCCTCCCTGAAGCCTTCCCGGGTTTCTGATGCACGGCCCTCATCTGTTTCTACGTGCTGTACTGCAGTGGTCTGTGTACATCTCTGTGCCATCGAACTTGGAGGCAGCCACCATACTTTGTTCATCTTTGGGAGCCCCAGAGAACCCACCTGCCGTAACGCCCTGCACCGAGGGGAACGGGAAGGGGAAGGGGAGTGAAAGAAGGGGGCCAATGGGGTTTCCTGCCTCAGCCACGCGGAAGCACGAACGGGCCCCACACGGTGGCTCTGGACGGATCTGTGTGCTCTGCTCCCTTGTACCGAAACCCCCGTCCGCTCATCTGCTCCAGCACGAGTCCGGGACAGAGTCAAGGCCAAGTCACACTCATCCATGCACCTGGAGGCCCACAGTAAACCTTCCCCGACCATGACCGAGAGCAAACGATTCAAACTCTTTTACTCCACAATACACGACGTCTAAGGCGCCTACGTCTAAGGAGTAACGCCCTTGTACACACACACACACACACACACACACACACACATTCCCGTCTTTCTCCCTCGCACACTTGGTGTGGAAGAACTCGCTTTTCTTCTGGGCTCCTCGCTCTCTCTCCCTCCGCTTCTCAACCCGCTGGCCACCCTCCCCCGCCCCCTCAACGCGCTCCTGTTTGAACTGGCCCTCAGCCCAGCCCACGCGACCGTCCTTCCCGCCCCTCCCCGTGCACCCGGGCCCCTCCCCTTGGCTCGGATCTGGGGGACCTTGAAAAGGCCGGTCTTCTCCGTCCCCTTTTTCATCACAGTCGGTCATCTGGGCCGGCATTTGGGTTTCGTGTTGTGAAGACACCCTGCCTTGACTTTGGCCTTCGTTCGGGGAGGGGGGCGGGCCGGCACCAGGGTTGTTGCGGATGCTACGTTTTATTACGCGCGATGGTAGCGGGGGTCCTGCCGTGGGTCTGGCCGGGGGCCGGGGGGCGGGGAGCGGCAGAAGGACACGGGACACCGTCAAGTCACAGCGCAAAATATTTTTCAGGGCGACATCAAAGCCTTTTTCCACGGCGTCTTCCCCTGACCCCGTTTCACACTGGCAGCGCACGAACTCGAACTGAAATAAAAATACCAGCCTGGCTCCGCTCCGCCCGCGGGGCTGCTGGGCCGAGTGACCAGTTTTATTAAAAGTCACCAAACGCAAACATTCCAAGATTTATTTTCCTTGCTTATAATTTTTTTCTGCCTTCCCACTGGTGGGCTGTTTATTCCTAATAATTCGGTTGGAAAAAAAGCATTCGCTCATACCAGTGGAGGTCTCACATGCCAAGCTGCAAACCAGAGCGCGTTTTATTGCGGAATAAAACCCCTGGAAAACAGGCTCCAGGGGGGCCCGCGGACAGCGGGTTTACGAGCGCAGCACAATTGACGCCATTATAATGAGTTCCCCCCAAACGTCTTATTTTTTAGGGCAGAGATCTGAATCTTTCTCTTTGCCCGTGAATATCTCCGGACTAGAGCAAAAACATTATGGAGGGTGAGTCATAGACCAGCTCTGGGCTTTAAAGACTAACGCAGATCCTATAAATCTAGCTCACATTCTTTTACTGGGAATGACTGACTTTTATGAAAACGGAGGACTGTAAATCAGAAACCTAAATAGCTTGCTTTGCAGCGGGTAAACACAGATTTATGTAGCGGCTGAGCCCTCACTTAACCCTTTCGTGGAGCCGCAGAGGATCGTGGGGGGCGTGGGGGGCAGTACATGTGCATCGGGGCCGCTTGCGTCAGCTCTGCCGTTTCTCCCCGAGAGTTGCAGCGTGGAGAGGGGAGGTGCCACAAGTCTCTCTCCAGCAGATGGGGGCGGGTGACTCGAGGACCAGGTCTTTCTGCGGCCAAGCGTGCTTGCGACTAAGCCATCTCAGCCGGGTGCACAGGGAGCGGCCTGGGGTTGGCTTCTGGCTATTCCGAAGGGCAGGCCCCAGCACGGTGAGCAGGCACAGGAGCTAACCTGGGAGGAAGGGGTTTCTGTGTGGGTGCCACAGGGTGAGCCTGCCCAAGCCTGGACGTCTAATCCCTCCAGGCGTGACCTCGTCCGAGGCACCAAATCCCCCCCCGGGACCTCAACCTTCTCATCTGCAAAATCCTGCGCCCATCTGGTGCATCCCTTGTAAGCAAGGACTCGACGGGACAGTTGCAGAAGGTGCTTAGAGCAAGGCTGGCTCATGGCAAGCACGCAGTACGTGTGACTCAGTGTTGGTGCTCTTGTGACCAGAGCCACTGGCCACAGGACCCGGCTTCTCCAAGGTTCACGTGCCCCCCAGTCAGCTGGGAATCTAACTGAAGCTCAGATTCCGATCCAGTGCGCCCGAGAGTCCGCATTTCCAACAAGGTTGCCGGTGACGCCGATGCTGCCGGTTCCTATCAACTCCACCACGCCCCGCCCCTACCCCCGCACCTTTGAGTGATTTAGGTACAGAATTCGGTTTGACCAGCCGTACCTACATCCTTCTCATTGAACACTCAGGACAACGCTGGGCCCGGAGACAGAGCAAGGGCTCCTCTCATGGCTGATTCATTACCCGTGAGATCCTGAGCAAAGACACGGGGACCCAAACCCTCTCCAGGCCCGAGGGCGCAGCGCCATCCCGAGAGTCACCACGGCCTGGGTTCCCGGATCCCAACCCTCCCTGTCAGTCACCTCCCCAGCTCTCACCCCCACCCCCTTCACCCCCACGCTCACCTCTGCGGGCAGCCCCCACCGTCCCCCACTCAGATCCCAGCCTGCACCCTGGGCCTCACGCGGCTCCTGTGTGCCGGCACCACCCACCCTTAAAGGCAGACAGGACCCGCGGACCCCGGAAGAGAGAGGACAGGGGCATCTATCACTTTTATGTGGCATCTCCAAGGAGCAGGCTCCCAGGCGGCCCGGAGGCAAAGGCCGGCTGCGACGGGTTAATGGAGAACCTGCGATTTAATCATTAACGTTGAATACTAAAGCTGTCCCAGGAGGCCCCCAGAGTGGGGCGGAGGGTGCCTGCGGGGGGCAGGGGGTCTCTGACGCCTTGAGGGCTGGGGGGTCGGATGTGTGTCCAATGGTGTCAGGGCTGCCTTGAGCCGCCGTGGCGTTGGGGCCCTCGGCCCACGCTTGCAGGTGAGGCTTTCTGCCGAAGCTGAGAGTGGGCAGATGAGTCCTTTCTGCCGCAAGCCCCAGAGAACCTGGGGAGGGTGGGGGCATCCAGGGGGCCCAGACTGGGGAACTGGGATCCTCCCACAGGCTCACCCTGCCCCAGGAGGGTGGGGGCATTATCAGCGCACTTTCTAGGCCGGACCTGAGATCCAGTTGAGTAAGCAGCGCAAAGCCGCACAGCTGGCTGGCTGGCTGGGCCAGTCTAGCACAGGCTGAGGCCCCCCAGGCCTCAGCTCCAGAGCCTGCCTCCACCCTCAGCCTCCTCCCAGGACAAGGGTTCAGCCCTGACCTCTGCTGGTCATCCCCACCCCCGCCCGCCCACCTGCCTCCCCCACGCACACCATCAGCAACCCCCCTAGCCCTCCACCCTTATCTCATTTTAATCATTTACCTGGAGCTGGGAACCAGCGGCCTCCTCCAGTGTTTTCCCAAGTGCTTGGACAAAGCCTTGAAATCACACCGCGAAAAAGTCATTTCCTTTTCGACACTCCTCCAAGCCTCCTAATGAGGAGGAGCAGGCCTATGCGCCCTCCGGGGCACTAGTCACGCCCTCTTTTAGACAACAGGGGGCAGACCTGAGCCCGGAGCCCACCCTGGCTTCTCCCTAGAATTTCAGAAGCACTGCGGTATGTTGAGTTTCTATTTACTTTTAACTTTTTTTTTTCAATGTTGAAGTTTAATACCACGAGTGGTGTTAAACTGGGTAAATGATCACAAACCGAACCACCTGTGGAATCAACACTCAGATCAAGAAATGGAATTTGTGTCTCCATCCCCACCCCCCTCCTGAAAGGGTGGCCCCTCTCCTGACTTCTAAGAGTACAGGTCAAGTTTGCCTGTTTTCACGGCAGCCGCAGACTCAGGACCACCGGGGCCAGCCTCTCTGGCCCGGCATCGTTTGCAAAATTCCCGCACGGCTGCTGTGTGGAGCTGTGGACGGCTCCTTCTCACTGCGGACCGGCATTCCTCGTATTTACTTCCGTGGTGACTCTCCACGTAGAGTACATGGATACTGGGTTCTCCGTGTACCTCTGTAGCTACTTCTGAGAATCAGTAAAGAATAAAATAAGAGACATCATTTAGAAATTAAATAGCAGCCGCGGCGGAACTCGGATGTGGCAGAAATAGGGAAGATGGTGCGTACGTTTTGGAGAGGTGGGTGTTTCAGATCCGCTCATGCAGGGTGACGGAGTCTCTGACCCTGCACCCACGCCCAGGGTGGGCCTCTGGAGCTTCCCAGGCCCAGCCAAAGGCACCTAATTCTCAGCCACCTTGCAGTCCAGGCCCCACTGTGGCACGTCCCACTTCGAGCTCCTTAGTTAAGACACAGGAGCCCACGCAGCTCACGTGTCCGCTCTGGGACCTTTGCTGTAGCCCCTCCCTGCACACGGGCTGCACCTGCCCAAAGGCCCCAGGCCAAGCTGCTGACCCTCCCGCCTCCGTGTGAAAAAGTCCCCCAGGAGGAGGGAAGAGCTGCGGGGTCAGAGCCTTGCAGGGGGGCCTCCTGCCTCTGAGCAGGACTGAGGGAAACAGTCAGAGCTCGTTTAAACCTGCTGCCCCCCAGGGCTCTGTCTCTACCTGCAGCTCCTGCCAATCCCTGCGGAGGGGGAGGAGCTCCTGGAAGCACAGGCTGCGGGGGGGGCAGGGGGGGGCTTGAGTCCCTGCCAGGGCTCAGTTAGGTGTCGGTTTCCACCCTTCCCTCCCGCAGGAGGAACAGTCATTCAGGAACCCCACGCAGGAGGTGATGCTGACGTGTTTGCTTTCAGATAGTGCCTGCTGGCCCGTCCACTCACTCATCTCGGAGACTGGATCGCCCCGCGGTAGATGGCTCACACTTCGGAGGCTGGGAAGCTCGGCCTCTGTTCTCTCCCGGCAAACCCGGACTGGAGTCCTGCTCCCCTGTCCCTTCTGCCGAGTGACCTGTTGCGAATCCCTTAACCCCTGTCACCCTTAACGTCCTGGTCTGGGGTGGGAGGTGGTCATGTCCCGCTCTCTGGGAGGGGGTGGGAATTGCGTGGGCCGTGGCCAGCCAAGCGTCTCGCATGGAAGCCCAGTAAGGGGTAGTGGTCACCCTCAGGAAGAAAAGAGGAAAAGGGGGAAAATGTCTGACTTTGAAGCTTGATTTCTTTTTTATTGCGGTATAATTGACCTACCTTATATTTATGTCAGGTGTGCAACACAATGGTTCTATCTTTGTACACACGGAGAAATGAGCACCACAGTTAGTTAACTTCTGTCACCACACAGAGTCGCAGAATTTTCTGGCCTCAGGCCCTCCTTCAGGGCAGCTCTGGTTGGGGGGCACCCCAGCAGCATCCCCCTGCCCGATATTTCCCTTTTCCAGGTCTCTCCCAGGGCTCTGGGGGCCACCACTTCTGGAGTGGTAAGGAGAGGGGGTCCGACCAGACCGACTGGGTGTGCCGTCGGAATTGACAAGCGGCCAAATCTGAGGACGGCCGTTGAAACCCTATTTTGCTCCTCTATCTATAAAATGAGGCAGTCCTACTCAGTGCCGGGCCTTACCGGGTTGCGGAAGATCGAGAGGAGAACGCACCGGAAAGGCCTCGGCAAACCGATGGGCGCCGGACGGGTCTGGTGCCCCCAACACTCCAGTGGGTCCTAACTGGCCTTGCAGGGGCTGTTTCTGTTTTTGCTTTTTTAACGTCAGCCTCATTTTGCTGACTTACATAATTGTACGCACAGTCCAGTGCCCTCTTTTTGGCGGATACTTCTAGGCGTACAACTGTGCAGCCGTCGCCGCAATCAAGATACAGAACTCGTGCGCCAAAACCTTTCCCCAGGCTCCTTTGCCGCCAGCCGCTCCCCCAGCCCCGCCCTGCGGCAACCCTGGGCTGTGTCGTCTCCCTGCAGTGTTCCTGTTCCTTCCCTGTCACAGAAACGGGGTCAGGCAGAAGGGGCCGTGCTGTACAACCGGAGTAGATGTGGAAGTCACAGAAGTGGAGTCCCCTGGTAAACACATTCTGGGGGACTGGCTTTTCACACTTAGCGGTGTGCGTTTGACATCTGTCCTAGCTGTCACGTCACCGGCAGCCCATGGCTTTTCACCGTCCAGTGGTGGCTTGGTGTATGGACGTACCACAGGATTTTCACCGGAGAAGGGCATTTGGGTTACTTCCAGTCTGGGGTGAGGACCAATGAAGCTGCTTTCATTTATGTCCTGGGTTTTGTGTGACCAAAAGTTTCGTTTAATCTTGGCAAACACCTAGGACTAGAATTGGTGGATCACACAGGAATATTTAACGTCATAAGAAACTGCGCCCCCCCAGCAGCGATGCACGAGAATTCCAGTCACTCTGCAGCCTCTCCAACACCTGGCATTGTCCGTAAGTTTCCTTAGCTACTTTATAGGTGTGTGTGGTCTTGCACTGTGTGGTTAAGGTGGCGGATGAGACTGCTAGGGCGGCCACAACAAAGGGGCGTAAACAATAGGGATTTGTTTTCTCATAGTTCTGGAGCCTGGAAGTCCAAGACAGAGGTGTCAAGAGGTGTGGTTTCCCCCGAGGCCTCGCTCCGTGGCTGGTAGATGACCACCTTCACGCGAGTTTTCCTCCTCCGCTTGCAAACATGTCTGGTGACTCTCCACGCATCGAAATCTCTTCTTCTTCTAAGGACATCAGCCGTTGGGTTGGGGCCCACCTTGCATGTCTCATTTTAACGTAGTCACCTCTTTTAAGGAACTTGTCTCAAAAGATGGTCAAACGTGCAGCTCCTGAGGGTTAGGGTCGCAACACAGGAACTGGGGAGGGACATCATCCAGCCCGTCCCGGGCGGTGTAGACACAGCTCAGCCCAGGCACGCAGATTGACAACGCAGTGAGCAAGTGGCCCTGGTTCGGGGAAGGCAGAGGTGATTCCTCAAGTCCGTGTGGCTCAGGGTGGGAGCCATCACCTTGGGACACGAGGCTGGACGCGTCCTTGCACTGGAAACGCGAGAAAGGCATGGGCTAGAGAATGAGCCCCTGTTTCCTGGCCACTCCGGCTCGAGTAGGTGGCCTCTCGTCTAAGCCACATTTGCATTGTCTGTCCCAGACGGAAACGGTAATGTCACGCAGCCGGACGGTACGGAGTTAAGAGGACGATGCACGTGTAGCAGTTCCACACGCCGAGATGTGTGAGAACTACAACGTCCCTCATTCTGTTTTTTCCTGACCCATGTTTGCTTGTCCTTAGCTGAGCTGTAGGGAAACTTTTGGCATTTCCCCTACCTCCTGGGGTTGTGTTAAGGTCCAAGTGCTTCATAAATGTCAGCCGCTGGATTTAAAGATTCTTGGTAAAATTGGCTCCCGGAGACGCGAAGGTGCATGTAGATTTGCACAGGGTTAGAACGCTGTCACGGGCAGAGTTTCCCGAATGGTCCCCTTCTCTCCAGCCTTCAGCCCAAGTCCCCTCTCCTCCACATCCGTCCCTCTAGCTCCTCCCAGACCTCTGTGTCCCTGCCCACATTTCCTGCGGCCCGGATTGGCAGCCGGCTACAACCCCCGCCCCGACCTCTTGCCCCCCAGCGATGAACCTTCAGATGCGTGGAAGGCAGAATGCTGGGCAAGGTCTGGGGACAGCCACAGGGAGCTGTCCCCCTGCCCCCAGGAGCCTCCCCCTGCAGCAAGGAGACCAGGAGCCTCCCCCCTGCATGAGGGCCACCTTCTGGACCTGGAGGACTTAGCGTCAGCTCCAGAATTCACCAGCCCGTGAGGAGTTTATAACTAAGGACACTGTTGCCTTAGAAGGAGACCAGAACTTCCATCTGTCCTCCAAGTAAGCCAAATCAGGGAGTGTTTTATTTCTCAAAGCCGCAGGAGCAAGAAATGGGAGTCGGAGCCAAGTGCTCGGCCCTGACCACCCACTCGGACCGTGTGGCCACCGACTCCGCACAGACGGCCCCCCGCCGTGCACCCCCAGCCTGCCAGGGCCGCTCTCCTGGCCCCTGCAGTCGGCTCAGCCCAAGGGGGCGAAGTAAACACGCGCCGTGCTCTGCAGAAAGGAGCTGCCTGGGACACTCGGCCCAGGCTTTATTAGAAGAAATGTGGTTGAAACCGTGACACCCTCCCCAAAGGTCCTGCAACCACAGCCTTTGTGGCCGTGAGGTCCTCTCCAGGGCCACCTGCCCCCTTGCTCCCGAAGGGACCCTCTGCTCCAAGCAACCAGGAATTGTCACCGCCCACCAGCCTGGCCTTCTTCCTCCTCCCTGCTCTGCTTACCCCTTCCCTCCATGCAACTCGACAAGCCTCCCCCAGGCTGGGCAACGGGGCCCTGAGCTGGGCAAGACCCGGGGACAGCACTCCTCACAGTCGGGGGGGTGGGGAGGCAGGGCCTTACACAGCTCCAGTGTAAGGGCCAAGGTGGCTGGGGCACAGGCCCCGGGAGAGAGCTGCGCCCAACCCAGGTTGGAGGAGAGGCAATCAGGGGAGGCTTCCTGAAGGAGGAGAGTTCTGAGCAGAAGGGGAGGCTGGCCAAGCAGAGGGAGTTGAGGACATTG